GTGAGTTACCTGTGTCCTCCTCGTTGTGTTACCTGCATCATTCTCTCTGACAGTTACCTGCATTATCTTTACTGTGAGTTACCTGTGTCCTCCTCATTGTGAGCTACCTGCATCATTCTTTTTGACAGTTCCCTGCATTATCTTTACTGTGAGTTACCTGTGCCCTCCTCACTGTGAGTTACCTGTATTATCTTTACTGTGAGTTACCTGTGCCCTCATCGCTGTGAGTTACCTGCATTATCTTTACTGTGAGTTACCTGTGCCCCCCTCGCTGTGAGTTACCTGCATCATCCTCTGACAGTTACCTGCATCATCTTTACTTTGAGTTACCTGAGCCCTCCTCGCTGCTCCCCTCTCCTGTGTCCTCCTCTTCCTTGTCGTCGTCTCCATCCTCCACCTCATCACCTTCCTCCTCTGTGTCGGTTTCCTCCAACCACTCTTGAGTGTCTTCAGAAGTAAAAGTACAGACACCTGATCAGCGAGGGCCAGAAGTCAGGGAAGACTCAAATGTCCCCTGGCCATTTCCTCTCAGGATGCTATTTTCTCACTAAAGAAATATCCCAGGAGAACCCCCTCACCCCGGGCATGTTTGGATCCTCAGAGAAAACAGCTTGTTGCCCTGGATCTGAGGGATGAGGCGAAGACTGAGGTGGCACAAACCCAACAGGAAACTCCCCATTCTGTAGGGAAAGACAATCTGACATTTACTGCTTTTGCCCAGGATGCTCAGCTGCCTCACCTGTCGCAGGTGTTATAAATCAGGAATATTCTTAGTGCCTTTCCCTACACGTGTGGATTCTACTTTAAGCCTCAGATCTTAGAAAATGAATAAGCCACTTGGGTCCAGCAGTAGTCTGGTTCTATTAAAAAAATGGGAATGTGAGAATTAAGGAGACACAGCTAAAGCTTTGGATAAGATAATAAACAGGCCCATAGGTTCAAAACTAGAGGGCCCCAGAGACTGCTGGAGCAAGGCGCCTCCTGCTCAGGGCAGCTCTCAGGTGCATAAAAGAGCAGGCTCGGACTTTCTGCAGAGTAACACTCCAGGAAGCCTGTTTGCAATGATTCACCTGTACAGTACCCTAGACACACCTGAGGGGCTCACACAGGTTACATCGAGGGCTAACACGTGACCTGTGAGAGGACCTGCCAGCACTGTCTCTAATGCCACAGACAGGGGACAACTGTGTGAATGGCCAAGACCCTACGAGAGTACAGAAGCCCAGCAAATGGGTGGTGAGTCAGCAGCATGTGGGCAGACGCGGCTGTGGGCACCTGAGGCAACCACTCACACAGCTCTCCTTCTAACTCACGTACCAGCCACCCACTTACCTGGGTCCATCTCCACCAGGGCCTTCCATCCATCCATCTTCTGTAGGTCGAGGCAGTAGAGGTCGCTGAGGGTGAACTGGCGGTCACCTGCCTCAAACATGCCCCCATAGACGTAGAGCAGCCCATGCTTCACAGCCAGCATGGCGCTGGATCGGGGACATGGTGCAACCAAGGATGCCCCGGCCTCCTCTGCACCGTCATCGTCCTCATCCTTGGATGGCGGCCTTCCCGCCACGCCTGGTGCAGGGAGCACCTGCTTGATGGTGATCACAGTCCCGTCCTCAGTAGTCACCTTTCGGACCACCTCCAGGGGCTCCTGGGGGCTGGGCTCCTCTCCTGCCTGCTCATCACTACCTCTGAGCTCCCCTTTCCTGCCCCGCCGCCGCTTCCTCTTCTCAGTCTTGGGTTCCTGTTGATGAAGGACAGTACAGAATCCCACTACCAGTGAAGAGGAATGCCCAAGCAGGTATGGTGGGGAGCCCTCGGCAGCAGGCACCTGGGATCGAAGTGCCAGAGAAAACAAGCCTGACTCATGAACTCGAGGAGTCCCTGGGTGGTGTAAACGGTTAATGCACTAGAAAGGTTGGAGATTCAAGTCTATCTGGAGGTGCCTTGGAAGAACGGCCTAGCAATCTGCTTCTGAAAAATCAGCCATTGACATCTGTATGGAGCACAGTTCTACTCTGACACACACAGGGTGGTCATGAGTCGAAGATGACTCCACAGAAACTGGTTACTAGTTCACGGACTCAATCTAGCACCAAGCACTGGACACGGGACCCTCCTGGTGACCCCCAAATCCTCAACAATGGGCTAGAGAAGTACGCCGACACCCTAGATGAAGCCTTCTGCCCCTAAGGACACTTGCCTTGGGAAAATAAAATCAACCAACAAATGCCAATGACAACAGGCTGGGAAGTCCATGCTGGAGCTCACAGACACCCACCATTTGCCCACAGGCAGGTGGACCAGTCAGGCAACGCCCCACGGGGTTACAATGAATCACTGGCCACCAAAGTGTGAAAGACGACAGCTCTCTTCAAGGCCAGGCACAGTTTGTCACTCTGGACTGGGAATGTCCCGTGAGACAGGAAGACCCCCTTCCATGAGTGCTTACGGGGTTTGAAGTCCCAGACCACCTTACTGGGAGGAAAGCAGCCCTGACATGTGATGGAAGTAGAAGCTGCGGGTCCTGCATGTCATCTGTGTCTGACAGTCATTGTTCTGGCAAAATAGAACCTCCTTGGGGGCAGATGCTACCTTGAGTTGCCCCGCAAACCAGCGGTTCCTGGCAGTGTCATAGAAGTACAGGTCATTGAGAAAGTCGCCCTCCAGGGTCTCCTCCTCTTCCTCATCACACACCCCTCCGAAGAGCAGCGTCTGATGATTCGGGGCCATGGCCACGGAAAAGCCAGACCTTGGGGTGGGCTTGGCTCCCGAGGGATGCATTCGCGTCCACGCCCATTTGCCTGTCAGAAGAACACAGAACTAGGGTGAGAAAGCAGGAGGAAGTGGCAAGGAGCAAGAAACAGTGTCCATTAAGTACACGGCTGTGTTCAGAGCCAGTGCCTCTGCTCTCCGTGCCTGCTTCTGCCCCTCACAGTGGTGGGCCTGGCACCAAAGAGGCCCTGACCACACCCTCCAGAGCCGCTACCGTGTCGGAACATCCTTCTGAGAAAGCTGCAGATACCACTGTCCTGTGAAAGAAGCTGTGCCACCAGCCCTGGCTGCCTCTCAGTGCTGCTCAGGAAGCCAATTGGTCCCTGTGGCCATGCCCACCCCAAGAGTGCGCTGCCCTATGCAGGTGGCCTGTGGCTGGATGCAGCCTCCCCGAGACCACCAAAGACCCTCCCCCAGCAGCCAGGAGCCCCTCGTGTTCAGCATTCACCTGTCAGGCAAACCTCGCCTTAGCAGCGAATACCTTGGGGGTAATAACCAGCTCCCAGCCCTCTCAGTGCTCTACAAAGGGAATGCCGAGTACTAACGCTGCCTAATACCGTCGACGTCTTTGGGTCAGTCCATTTAAGCACCCTCACACAGGGTGAGCATGCCTCCCACCATTTCTGAGCATGCAGATGGGGCAGACTTGACTTATCAAGGGCATCCTGCCTGGCCAGCACTGAGGCACCTTGAAGTATGTGTGTGGGTCTACTGCTCCGGGGTGAATGGAGCATGCCCACACATCACCGGTGGCCCGTGGCGCTCACTGCCAGCCCCTGTGTGAGGAGGGACAGTGGGCTTTTATTGCTCAGCCCATGGGACAGAGGCCCCACCAGCAATGTGCAGACACCCCCGAGTTGTGGTTCCTTCTGCACAGTGAAGGTACCTTCTCTTCCGTCCTCAGACTTCAGCAGGAACATATCTGAATGCAGGGTGCCCTTGTCCACGTCCTTCTTGACTCTCTGCAAAGGAAGGGGAGTCATGTCAGTAGTGTCACTACATCTACCCAGGGGAACTGTGCTGTTGTTTTGCTAACAGCAGTACTTCCTTCATAGAAGCAACAGGCTGAGGAAGGATGTTTTATACTGCAACATTCTGACAATGAAATACTTCCCTGGAGACCTCGAGAGACAAGAAAGGTGTTCTGCTGACACATGCCACGGGTTCCATAAAGGTGGTCACTGCCAGCACAGAACGGAGCAGGGCACCACTCTAGCTGACGGCGTAAGATGGGAGTGCTGCACCCTTGCTAACTAGCTAACAGGCCTGTACTCCCCAACAGCTTTCTACTTTCTTTTACAGCAGTTTCCTTTCTTGAAGTGTTGCGATTTCCACAGAAATGCAATCCACTTGTCTTCAAAGTATTCCTCTAGTCGTAAATTTCAGTCTAATACACTATTAACTGAATCCAAAGACACTGGAGACAGATATGTATCAAGTGTTGTAACACCAATTTCAAAAACAACACAGCTGTCTCCAAAAACTATTCAGTCTGATCGAGACACAGGGTGGTTGAGGACACCTGACCTGGGGGTGACAGAGAGCAGGGGGCTAGGTACGTGGTGGTATGAGGAATAAGACAGCACAGGGCAGGAATACCATTGGACCCGGGGTGCTCAGGGAAGCCCTCTCCATGATGGACCTTTGAGCAGAGAGCAAAAGAAAGTGAGGGTGGGGGTCCCACAGCTATGGCATTCTGGGAGCATGCTCAGAGTGTTCAGGAGAGCGAGAGGCAGCAAGGCTGGGATGGGTGGGCCAGGGAAATGAGCAGGACAAGGAAGTGAGAGAGACAGAGAGAGAGGTGGATCACAGAGGGCCAGGTCGAGGCCATCAGGAGAGCTCAGAGTTGTCCCGGGTAAAATGACACACTGTTGGGAGACACTGAGCACAGTGAGACAAGCTACGAGCTGACATCTATTGTACAAAGACCACTCGGGCTGTGAAGAGATGGTAACAGACAAAGACGGGGCAGAGGGCCCATATGAGAGAGAACAGCCAGGCCCAAGGCGGGGGCAATGGTGCCACAGGCCAGGCCACTGGCTGTGGAAGTGGAGGTGGGAGAGGTGGGGTCTGTCAGAGCCAGGGAGCTGCAGACCAACATGTACGGTGAGAGAGGGGTTCAAGCGGATGGTACCACACAAGATGGTGGAGAAGCACGGCGGGATGCAGGTCAGGACTTCTTGCTCACTGAGTCACAGGGAAAGGACAACACAGCCCTGCCTGGTGCCACATGACAGCAAGTGATGCTTCCTCACAGAGACTTAAAAGAATAATGAAAACTAAAACCCTGATGCTGTAGTCGTTACCTTTATTATAAACATTTTAAGCAACTGCAAAAACTTCTGCTTAATACTGCCCCAAGAAAATCCACCTGGAGAAGAAAACCATCCAGGAGAAATGACGTTGACCGATGAGGCAGGAGGGGCTCAGTACTGACAACGCCCCTTTACCTCTGCTGAGCACTCACCCACTCGGGGCCTACGTCTTACATCGATCAGGCTGCTTTCTCACGAAGGCAGATGAGAATTACAGAAAATACAGTAGGAAAGCACAGGCCTGCTGGGACTGACATGCTTGGAACTTCCTTGGTGAGGACTGAATCCTATAGAGGGGCATCTTGCCTGCTCAGCCACACAGGACTGGCACCAGGTCTGACCACCCCAAACAGCCCACCATGTCAGCAGGCGTCTCATCTGGCCTCCACGACCCGTCTCGGCCTCTACTCAACAAGAGTTTGTCGTGGCTTGCTTCGCTCACGCTTTTGGTATCTTAGCTGCTCTTCCCTTCCAGCCCCACTCTGCCAGCACAGCCCATTGTCCTCCCACCCCCTAGTATGCCTGCTCACACCACTCCTCCGCTCACACTGTGTTCCAAGGCTCCAGTGCCCGTGCTCCCTTCACTCCACATTTGGCCCTTCCTAGCCCTGTGCTCTCCTAATCCTCCTGGCCTCCAAATTCCAGCCAAGCCAGTCTCATGGACTGCCTTTAAATGCACACTACCCATTTCTCACCCTACTCCTTTGGAGACTCATGCATGCATACCCGGTGCAGCATAAGCACGTTCCTCTCAGCACTTGCAGAGTCAAAAAGAAAACCGTCCCTCAGCCGCAAATGGAAAGATAATCGGAATAAATGCTCCACGTTAGTTAGTGTCTGTAGCTTAGGAATAAATCCTCCAAACGCAGACTTACTCGCACTGCAGAGTTTCAAGTGGATTCAGACGAAAACATAACATGGCCTTTGAACACCTTGTTATTATGTTATAGAGCAGCAGACTAACACTAACCTTAGCCCAGTTCTAAAGTTCTAATTTAACCCCAGAGGTCAACGAAGTGAATTGTTTGTGTAAGATTAACGTATGCTCTTAGATGGAAGTTTTCACTATTAGCAAAATGAAAAGACAACAGATTGAAAGACAAATTCCATGCCCACCTGTTTCGAGTAGCCTCCGTAGATGATGATGCTGCCCTGGGCAGTGACGGATATCTGGCAGCCAGACCTTGGGGTGGGCCCCATCCCTAAGGGAGACAGCTTGGTCCACGTGAAGGTGTCCAGATTAAAGGTATACACATCATTATAATAGATGTAGTCTCTGGTTATGACAAAGTGACACAAGGCATGATGATAAACATGATCAGGGGAAGGTAGTATGTTCAAAAGTGAACTTTAAAAAGATTTAACCTGATTTAAATGAAAGGTAAATTTCCCACTGTTTTTACTAAGTTACCTGTTTAATTAAAGTTTAGGTTCATATAAAAGGACTGTGAGCATTTATGAGTTTGCATTTGAAAATCAGAAACAATGCTAGCCCACAGGCATAGTAATTTACCTGTACTTGAAATCCTTTCAATCTGAAAGTAACAATACATCCTTATACAGTTTACAAAATCAGTCTTGTAAATAATTACATCCAGTTCCTTAATTCATTGTGGAATTATGGCTGAATTTTGGAAATAACAGAAGACACTGGATGGAGATGAGGAGAGAAGAGGGGTCAGCCATGGGAACTGGGAAACATGGTGGCAACACATTCTGGTGACACAGAGACACCAGGGACAAGTCCTCTGAACCCACAGACACTGGTGATGGCACAGAGGGCATGGCTGGAGGTGCTCTGGGACCCAGGTGGTACAGAGTCCAAGCAGAGGGGACCTGAGGAGGGGAGCAGCAGGTCACCCAGACGGCCATGTCCTGACATGGATCCTACAGATGGCTGTGAGCAGAACCCAGGGGCGTTGCGGTCAGAATCATATCCGACCATTAGAGAGAGACTGTTCTCCAGCTACCCAAAAAGGAGGGTGAAACTGAGATTAAAAGAAAGCACAGAAGAGTGAGGAACTCGACCAGAAGTCTGAAAGGGTGTTTCTTTTGCACACTGCATTCAAATTTCCCACGCTTGGAGCTCTGCAGTAAACCTTCAAGACCATCACTGCCACAATCGAATTGGCACAAAGCTAATCTTCGCCTTGCTGCATCTTCATGACCTGGACTTTCTGCCTGCCACCCACCACTGGGGCATCTTACGAGGGGGACAGCTCTGAACATGGAAACCCAGAACTCAGGGCTTCACGGAGGTTTTAACAACGCTACTACATTCCACCATTACCTCTGTGTCATGTGTCAGAATTTCAGTAAAGAAATTCTATTCTACACAGAAGATAAGAGCCACTGCTTCAAAGAAAATGAAAAGAATCAGTTTTTAAAAGTTACTGATTTCTTATGGATGTACTACACAAGCATCTGTTCTAGTATTTTCCTTTTTTACGTATGTTTGAAATACTTCAAAAATAATATTTAAAAAAAAGACAATAGCTTTGAAAAAAAGTTCTGATTTTGAAATGGTTACAAGCTCAAACTACCATAAAACTTGATTCAATTTACAACCTGTAAACTGACAGAAGGGCAGTGTTGCTCTCACTCACTGTCCCGCACACAGCAGATGCTAAATTAATGCACCAACAAATCCACTAGTCCCCATGTCTGTATTCTGACACATAATTATTTGTTAAGTTTCAAGAATGAGTACAAATGACAACCTCTTAGGTATAAATTTTTAAACATGGCCCAGGCTCTCTTATCCAAAGTGGCAACAAACAACCAAACGCCACACGCTGGACGTCAGAACTACAGGGGGTGGCACACTAGGTGCTCAGGGCAGAGACTGTGGTCAACTGACGTTGGAAACTTTGAGGACAAGTTTTACTACTTACTGATCATCTTGGTCTCTTCATCTTTAACTTGAGACTATAACCTGTCCTTCCAATAGCCTGTCCTTTAAGACAATGTGTGTAAAAATCACTTTGTAAACTATATGAACAAGACACAAGTTAAAGCATCAACATCACTATATCCAAGTTACACCTTTAAGGATATAAAATCATTCCTTGTTTAATTTGAATTTGTGTTGTTGTTGTGTGCCCTTGAGTCAGTTTTGACTCATAGCGACCCTACAGAACACAGGAGAACTGCCCCACAGGGTTTTCTGGGCTGTAATAGGGTCACTATGAGTTGGAATCAACTCGACAGCAACAGGTTTGCTTTGGTTTTTTAAATCTTTATGGGAGCAGATTGCCAGGTCTTTTTCCCATGGACCCACTGGTAGGTTTGAACCACTGACCTTTTGGTTAGCAGCTGAGCACTTAACCATCAAGCTACCAGGACTCCTTTTAATTTGAACCACACTTTAAAAAAACTACCCCCCCCCCCGAAAAGCATTTAAGAATTTATATTCCCTATCAGTCGGAATCAACTTGACAGCAATATGTTTGGGGTTTTTTTGTAACTAATGAAAATATTTTGTATTCGTGAAGAGATAAAGAAACCTTAATTGAGTCAAATCTCTACCTCACTTCCTCAGCTAAGATGGAGGAATGTGAAAAACCACAACAACTTCTGCCAGCCTTGACCTTCCCAAGGCTTCCTTCTTCACACAGGTGCGAGGATGTTTCCATGAACTGGTAATTATCAGAGGACGCTTGTACAAATGGATTCATTAAGTGACAAGAATGTGTGTGGGGTCACCACAATTAACAAACCAATCACAAAGCTATTTTTAAAGACGAGGAGAGGAGAAGCAGAGCACAGATGAGGTGGACAGCAAGGACGCTGTTTCCTCTGCCATTGTCTACACCTGAGGAAGAGCACGCTAAGTGTGGCCATCACCAGGTAAAGACAGTCTGAAACTTTTTACTGGGAACATTACCATACTGTGATGGTGACAGTAGTAAACCTGTTCACCTTACATCTTGTTGTTCTGCATAGAACTAAGGGCACGAAAGAAGGCATTTGTACAGACAGATGACAGGCCTGAAACAATCAGAGAACCTGCCAACTGGCCCTGGGAGCCCACTCCAGCCTGTCTGAACATAAACGTGAAATAAAAAGAGAACCAGATGCCTCCCCTTATGGTGCCTGGACTGGGGCTGCTTCCACCATGGGGGTTGGGGGGTTGTTAATTCTTTTAGACCAGTGGCTCTGAAAGCAAAGTCCCCAACCAGCAACACTGGCATCACCAGGAACTTGTTAGAAACGTACGTTCCTAGACCCCACCCCAGGCCAACTGAGCCAGAAATGAACAAGCCCTCCAAGGGATTGTGAGCCAGGCCCAAATTTGAGAATCCAGTTTGAGACAGAACCAACTATATAATCTGTGGGGCCCGGTGCAGAATGAAAAGTGTAGGGCCCATGTTCAACAAGGATGGTGAACTCCATAATGGCGACAGCACGGCATCAAACCAAGTGCACGTTCTCAGAGTGCAGGGCCCTGGCGTGGCCCTGGCTTCACAGGATGGGCGTCGTCGTCCGTGTGCACTCAAAGGGCTCTTCTTGTTAAATGCCTGCCCCCCAAACTCCAGGAAAGACAGGCTTATCTGCTGCTGGCACCCACCTTGTGCTCTCGTGGAAACCGCCAAAGAGAATCAACTGTCTCTTCCAGGCTACCATCCGGTGTCCACTCCGCCCTGAAGGGCCTCCTGCAGATCTAAAACGCAAGTAAATCAGGAAAAAAAGCTATGAACTCGCTTAATTTTGGGTTGCTTAAAAAAAAAAAAAAAAAAGACCACCACTTGTTACACCAATTTCTGTTTTGTAAGTACTTACTGAGTACCACTTAATCTGATCCACAAGCTACCAAAACCATTCTGACAATCTAGTTCACTATGTTCACACTTATGCTATGGTCTCCCCCTTAGGCTCAAGAGTCCAGGTTGAGTTAAAACAGGTAGGTTCCAACCAACTTTAAAAATTAATACTCAACATTTTCCAATATGAAAGTCCAAACTGTTGAAAAGACAGCACTTCACAGCAGAAAAGTCCATGTAAATAATGTCAATAACCTATGCAGCTACAAGAAGGCACTGCCATTATCAAAATTAGAGGAGAAAAAAACAGCTGCTGTTGAGTCAATTCCAATGCAAGCAGTCCTTGGGTGGTGCAAATGGTTAATGCATTCAGCTGCTAACTGAAAGGTTGGAGGTTCAAGTCCATCCACAGGCACCTTGGAAGAAAAGCCTGGTGATCTACTTCTGAAATATCTGCCATTGAAAACCCTATGGGGCACTTCTACTCTGTCACGCACGGGGTTGCCACTGACAAAATTAGATCCATACAAATATAATATTCTCTTTATATATCAGTTTCCCCCAAAGTCCAAACCTACCAAACATTTTCTAATGTTCTATTAATTCCTGTCAAACTGAGAGCATCTTTAACTCTTTTCTGTTTAATTTATGGTCACAAATTACATACAAGGTTAAACCTCACATGGGCATTCTCTCTGAAGGGACACAATGAAGAAATGCTTCAGGTACAGGTTTTAAGATGCCACTTTATCCCACACACTCATTTGATGTAACATTGACTAGATGTGCAATCAGACGGAGGCGGTGGTGATAAACACCGTGTACACACACACACGGCCAGATCCTATCTCTACCAAGTCCACCTGCTCCCCTGTCCCCACCTCCAATCTTGTAGGTGCCTGTTAATTTGCACAGGTGATATAAAGCTTATGAGAAACTGTGCATATGAGAAGAGTGTGAAGTCACAAAGCTTTCTCAGGCAAAGGTATCATAAGGAACCCTAACACTACTCTGTATTTTCACACTATGCTCTGAATTCAGATGCTGTTCCTGCATCTCACCTACCTTCCTTCTGGAAAAGAGCAAACTGCCTGTATCTACCATGCTGTGTGGCCTTTTCGCACTCCCACTGCAGCATCCGCAGTCAGCCCTCCCAAACTCCGCATGGGTGTTCCTGCTGCTCCTGCGCACAAAGCATGAAATAGCAGGGAGCGTGCACGTTCCCCCCATCTCAGAGGTTAACAGAAAGAAAAGCAGGATCTCAGTATCACTGATGTGGGCCAGAGTGTCCTCCACTGAGGGAGCCACGGGAGTCTGCAGCATCATCCATGAGACAATCTGCCAGCAATACCTGGTCTGAATCCACCAGGCCTTTGAATGTAGCTTCCGACTCCTGGCAAGCAGGAAACAGGCTAAAGGGCTCCCTGGGGAAGAAACCAGGCAGACCAGCAGGAAACGCCATGACTGGCCTGCCTTTTCAGCAAGCCAGTGTCACAGAAAGGAGCTACGCTCAATTAAAAGAAATTCAAGGAATAAAAGGTGCAGATGCAACATGTCATCCTAGATGAGGCACTAGTTTGGATAAACCAGCTGTAAATAACATTTTGGGGTCAAATGGGCTAATTTCAATATGGTTTGGGTGTTATGAGAAAAACATTCACTGAAATGGAAAGCAAAGATTACGGCTGAAAAATTTTTTCAGAAATAAGCACAGAAAAAGATCTGGAAAGACACGAGTGAGCTGTCAGCAGTGGTTTTGGGGGTGGGGATGGAAATGTGAGGTTTTTATTTTTGTCTAGAGTTTCTAATTTTCTACAACGCACAAGTACTGCTTCTGTAATAATTTTTTAAAATGCAAACAAACAAGACAGGATATGGAAAGGCTAATGACTGCACATTATAGTTACATTAAACTGCTATTTACCTTGAGTGAATCTTGCAGGCAGACACATACCGATATACTCCAAGTAGTAACAGATTAACACAAGACTAATACAAGCTGGGCCTGAGACGATTTTCTCTCTTGTTCCCTTTGATGCTAAAGGTTGTATGTCAACTTGGCTGGGCCGTGATTCTCAGTGGTTTGGCAGTTATGATGTAGTCTGGCAGTCGTATAATGATATAATTATTTCCATGATGAGATCTGATATAATGTGATCACCTCCACAATGGGATCCGCTGTAAGTAGCCAACCAGTTGAAAGGGAGTTTCCTTGGGGGTGTGGCTTGCATCCAATACAGGTGGACTTTCTGGCAAGGCTCACAGGCTTTGTCACTCTGGATCCTGCAGCTAGCTGGCTCCTGTTCATCTGACCTCTGGTTCTTGGGACTTGGGCTAGCAGCTTACCAGCCATCTTGCCTGCTGATCTTGGGATTCATTGGTCTCTGCAGCTTGTGAGCCAGAAGACGCCTCCAGTGTGACCCACAGTCTTGGGACTTTCCAGCCTCTATAACCGCGTGAGCCATTTCCTTGACATAAATCTCTCTATATATATATTTATACGCTTTACTGGTTTTGCTTCTCTAGAGAACCCAGCCTAAAACACTCCCCAATAATTAACTCCAGTTTTCCAAAGTTGTCTTGATACCTTCTCATGGTTTAATATCCCCCACTTCGCATCTCAAAGTGCATGGGTCATTTCACCACAATAAAGAGAGTCAATATGGCCAAAAGGAAATGAGTTATGACCAAACTTAGGTCTCCAAATAAACCTCAATTCCACTCATCAGAAGAGTTCTGCTGGCTTCCACAGAATACTGCTGATGTACCTGCATCAGATTGGTAAAGCAAGCCCTTTGGTTATGATAAACTACGTATGCCTAACAAATCTGAGTGCCTTTTGAAGCTTTGGAAGATAAAATGACTGTGCTTGCCAAGAGTGAAATTCATGTATCCAGGAAAGCATTAGTTCCAAAGATATATTTCAAATATAAATGCTAGCTCTGACAAAAATTTTAAAATCATATTGTAAAGACCAAAATAGTTTTTTCTTCACTGGATCCCTTTCCCCTTATACGGGAGGGGGAAAAACTCCAACTCACTAATTACATTATTTCCTAGCCTATTGACCTCATAGGTCAAGCATACAGCTTAGTTTCCCCTTAAACATGGGTACAAGCAATCAAAAGGAACTATCTACTGACACACACAATGATATGGATGAATCTCAAAAACATGCTGAACAAAAGCAGGCAGACATGAAAGAGCACAAACTGTATGAGTCTGTTTATACCAGATTTTTTTTTTTTTTAAATTTTTTCCCACACAAAAATTTATACATACATTGTTATGTGACTCTAATTGCTCTCCCCATACTGTGACAGCACACTCCTCCTTTCTACCCAATTTCCCATGTCCATTCAACCAGCTTCTAACCCTCTTTGCCTTCCCATCTCACCTCGAGACAGAAGCTGCCCGTTTAGTCTCTTCTATTTACTTGAGCTAAGAGGCTCACTCCTCACGAGTATCACTTTATGTCCCACAGTCCAGTCCAATCCCTGTCTGAAGAGTTGGCCTTGGAAATTGTTTCAGTTCTGGACTGCCAGAGAATCCAGGGGCCATGCTTTCCAGGGTTCCTCCAGTCTCATCAGGCCATTAAGTCTCATCTTCTTACCAGAATTTGAGTTCTGCACCCCACCTTTCTCCTGCTCCATCCAAGACTCTGTTGCGTTCCCTGTCAGGGCGGTCATTGGTGGTTGCCAGAAACCATCTAGCTTTTCTGGTCTCAGGCTGATGAAGTCTCTGGTTTATGTTGCCCTTTCCGTCTCTTGGGCTCATACTTTCCTTGGGTCTTTGGTGTTCTTCATTCTCCATTACTCCAGGTGGTTGGAAGCAATTGATGCATCACATTTTCTTAATAAGCTTTGTTATGCCAACTGACCTAGATGTTCCCTGAAAGAATGGACCCCAGACCCCTACCCCTGCTACTCTGTCCCTCAAAGTATTTGATTGTATTCAGGAAACTTCTTAGCTTTCGTTTAGTCCAGTTGTGCTGACTTCCCCTGCAGTGTGTGCTGTCCTTCCCTTCACCTAAGATAATTCTTATCTACTATCTAGTTGGTAAATAACCCTCACCCTCCCTCCCCACCCTCGTAACCATCAAAGAATGTTTTCTTCTGTGTTTAAACCTTTTCTTGAGTTCTTATAATAGTGGTCTTATACAATATTTGCCCTTCTGTGACTGACTAAATTCACTCAGCATAATGCCCTCCAGATTCCTCCATGTTATAAGATGTTTCACAGCTTCATCCTTCTTCTTCATCATTGCGTAGTATTCCATTGTGTGGATATACCATAATTTGTTTACCCATTCGTCCACTGATGGGCACCTAGGTTGCTTCCATCTTTTTGCCATTGTGAACAGTGCTGCAATGAACATGGGTGTGCATATATCTATTCGTGTGACGGCTCTTATTTCTCTAGGATATATCCCAAGGAGCGGGATAGCTGGATCGTATGGTACTTCTATTTCTAGCTTTTTAAGGAAGCGCCAAATCGATTTCCAAAGTGGCTGTACCATTTTACATTCCCACCAGCAGTATATAAGTGTTCCAGTCTCTCTAGCATTTATTTATTTTGTGTTTTTTGGATTAATGCTAGCCTTGTTGGGGTGAGATGATATCTCTTTGTAGTTTTGATCTGCATTTCTCTAATGGCTGATGATCGTGAGCATTTCTTCATGTATCTGTTAGCTGCCTGAATATCTTCTTGAAGAAGTGCCTGTTCATCTCCTTTGCCCATTTTTTAATTGGGTTATTTGTCTTCTTGTTGTTAAGGTTCTGCAGTACCTTGTAAATTTTAGAGATTAGACCCTGATCAGATTTGTCATATCCAAAAATTTTTTCCCAGTTTGTAGGTTGTGTTTTTACTCTTTTGGTGAAGTCTTTTGATGAGCATGTTT